ATCCCCAGCTCAATCTTAGGATTTTTTTTTTTTTTGTACCGGGAATCAAACTCTGGACCTTGCGCTTGTGTGGCAGGCACCGGAACCACTGAGCTAAATCCCCTGTCTTAGGATGTTTATTGGTCTACAGAGTGTTTTATCAGTTGCAAAGTTATTTGAATTTAATATTTGTTCTGCAGTTAAAAAATAGCTTTACTTATACAATACTGATAGTTCAGAAAACAGCCAAATGAACATCAGAATTGGAAAATTAGGTCACTGTTAGAAAGAAAATGTCCATTTATCATTTTTCCTTTGTTGAGATAAAGTAAGATATAGTTTAATGATATGTCTCATTTTTAAGAATTTACATTTAATTCACTTAGCATTCAGGCCTATTGTAAGATTTTGGGGTTAGCTTAGATGAACAGATTGTTTCTTATGCCAAATCACAGAGAAATTCAAACTAGAAATATTATTTAACTTGTTCTAATTTCTATTATAATGTAAGCTGCCTTTTATATTAAAGCTTTCCTGATGCTATTGTTAAAGGGTTGCTTCCACTGTGAACTTTGTTAAAATATTAAACTGAAGCATCTAAATAGTACTGCATCACCAACAAGAAACCCACTAACAATCTGGAAGCAATAAATTTTACTTAGGTATCCTTCATTGCAATGAGTATCTCATTGGGATAGATATTTTTGTGAGGGTTTTGTATGAAACTGCTTCTGTCTCAACTAAAATCTTTTTAAAGCTCTTTCTAACCATGAACAATTTCTGACTTTCATTGAAATATGCTAGCAATGTAATTTAATCTATCATTGATATTAGTATGTTAAGAATCATGGGTTAACCATGTATTGAAAGAAAAGAAGATCAATTTTCTAATTAGTTTTGGTATGGATTTTCATCATAATGATTTCTTAATTTTACTTCTTGAATATCTATTGTTTCTATCCAAAGGCTCTACACTTATAATTCAGAGTTGGAAAAATATTTACAATCATAGAAAGAACTGAATAATAGGAATATAAGTATAATTCATGTCCTGGATTCCTCAGTAGGATCCAGGATATTCAAGATAGTTTCATCCTATTCACCAAAGATTACCTAATTGTATGGCCCCCCAGACTCCATAGGAAAGCAAAGCTAACTGGGGAGACTATAGCACAATGGTAAGGACTTCTATCTTTTGAAAGAGAAAAGGAGTGAACTGCTTAAATTTCCATTGTATGAAGAAGCTACAGACTGAAGTGTGATTTTTTATAACAAATGAAAAAAAATTAAAATAATTTCTTATGTTCAAAGTTGCATGAACTAGAAAATGTGGGATAGAATCTTAACATTGCCCTCTCCTTGTTGCCTAATATCCATCTCTTCATCAAGGTATTTCAGTTATATATTCTATAGCCTTTCCAATAATTTCATTTCCTCCATTTCTATTGCTTTCACTTATTCTTGCCTCCTAATCTCTCCAGAATAGCCTGAGTGAACTTTATTATAAAAAATTAAATATATAAATATACTCTGATACTTCACATCCATCAGTGCTCTTAGGATAAAGGCCAAAACCTTGACTATGATCTACAAGGCTCTTCACTATCTAGCTTGGATTCCCTGTGCTCCAGCCACTCTGCCTTTCTTTTAGGAATGGAGAACTAACCAAATTTATGCTTGCCTCAGGGCCTTTAAACTATCCCACATTTTGCATCCTGGAAGTTTAACTTTATCACATTTATTTCAACATATATTATATTTTTATTTGTGTGGTTTTTGAATTAATAGTTGTCTTCTTCCCTAAACTTTGTTTCATGAGGGAAAAATTGTATCTATTTTGTTCATCATTCTATTTGAGAGTACCATGTAGTTATGTGATCAGCACTTGGTGCCTGCTTTGTTTATACTTATGTAAAAATTATTACCCTTCATGACTCCAAATATTTTCTTTCATGAACAATCTTTCCCTTGACACCTCCACTACAAAATCTTTCTATTCCTTTGATAAAAGATTATTCATTTCAAAAATAAAAGACTATAACCAGTTTTCAGACACTCTGCTTATTAAATTCTGACTACACTTAACATTATCCATGAGTAATAGTTAAGTGAAAATGAAATATCATATCTCTTGATTGCATCATACTAAAGTATAAATACCTTGCACAATTAACATATCTTAAATTACCTTTCCCTTACAGAGTAAATAATCTCACTAGGTATAGAAAATTATGGAGCTAATTCCTGCACAGTTCTTCAAGATTTAAAATAAGTGCTTGCATGCAATGTCATTTCTAATTTCCATCAAACTGGATAGTTCAAAGGACTTTTTAAGACTACATTGACATTGGTATAAATTGATAATGCATATAATTCAACTACTTCATTTGTTTCATGTGATATATACAAAGTGGCTATTCTTCAGAAAATTAAATAAGAATTTCATTTTTAAAAAACCTATTCCTGGCAACTAGATCTGGAACAAAGATATTTAGCATTATATGATATGTGAAAATTAAGTATCTTTAAAAATTCTGTTTACACTTACATTGTTAGCTGGGTAGCACATGACTTCCTAAACATAGAACTCTAACTCAGTCTTTTAATTCCATTTGTAGTAAATATATTTTAGCATTCAAGAATCTGACCAAATTAAAGACATAGCACCATCTTATGGATATTTCTATATTTGTAAAAATTGGAAATATAAAAATCTTTTTTTGAGTTTGAGAATGAAAAACTATATCAATAAAAAAAATTAGGTGAGAAGAATCTATTAATGTAGCAAGAAAAACTGATGTGTATATACAGGTGCATATTTGGGTACATATGTGCTTATGATAGCATGGTACATAGAGGCACAATGGGAATTTGTAATTCTTTCTTCTTCATTTCAAAATTTAGAGTTGTAATAAGAAAGAAAATAAATAGCTCTTATTATAATAAAAATTCCTACATTGTAAAGTAAAAAGACATTTGGTCCAGAATGCTGTCTCAGTATAGGACATGAGGACATTGAGCAACACCTTGCAAAGATGCTCTAAACCTAGAGAACTGATGAAAAGCAGACATGTACTTATTAGCCATGAGCCATAGTTCCTAAGCAGTGTTGAGAAATTTAGATATGATTGCTTTAACTATCTGCTGAAACTGTATAATTCCTCCTTTATCTAGCATTTGATTATTTTCATAAATGATTTATGCTCATTTTATTGTTCAGATTTTTAGATAAAAATATTTTAAAGTAAACACTTCCTAATGCCATTTTAACCATTTTAATGTGTAGCATATACCAAATTTAAGGAAGTTATGGAAAAATTGATGAACACAAATCTTCAGTGAATTCTTAAGGCATAATTTCATATGTATGGTTCATATCCTCAATCTTAGATATCAAATATGGACCTGAGCCATTACATGATTTATCCCTTCTATCCAAAACACAGATACAATGGTTTTTAACTTTTTGGAGTCTTATTTTCCATAATAAAAATTTTAAATCCTCTTTTTAGAAAACAGTTCATAGGTATAATTCATTTCATATGCAATTTTAGGAGTTTCTGGGTTCCCTAGAGTTTAAAATTTTCTTTAATATTTATACCTTTTGTTTGTAATTTTGAAAAGTAAAAACAAGGGACTTAATTATAAAGGCATGAGTAGTCTGTGGTGGAGAGAATAAGTAATTTTTGCACATAGATTCATTTTTCTCTCTCATTCATTCTCTCTCTCTCCCTCTCTCTCTGAAACACATACATACACACATCCATTCACCCACTCCTATTGGGGTTTGAGTCATCCCCCACTGGAACTAAATTATATAAAAAGAGCAGCAGGAATAAAATGATTCTTATGGATTTATTTTTATGTTACCTACTTTCAAGTAGCAACATGTTGGCTACAAACCATATAGAAATGTCAGCTTTATAGTCATAGAATAGCACAGGTTTTAGGGCCAGGGATTTAGCTCAGTGGTTCCATTGCTTGCCTAGCAAGCCCAAGGTCCTAAGTTTGATCCCTAGTACTGAAAAAAAAAATACAGGCTTTAATAATGTCTCATTAGGAATCACATTCTATAAAATGTAGATTCAATTCTGTTTCTAAATTTTGTTTCAAATATAAACTTGTTACAGTTTTAGTAAAATTAATTTCTTCTTATATTGTCCACATTAATAGAAAAGTAATGTCAAGTTGAAAAATTCCAACCATGCCATATACATTTTCCTATGTTCTCAGATGTGGGCAGGCACATTTCAGTTCAATAAATTAAAGGAAATTTCAGATTTATAATAATAACACAATATTTACATTCAGATCCAAGCCACTCTATTAGATGATATATGAAAGTTTTCAGGGTACCAAATGTAGAATTACCTTTAGGTAAAAAAATTAGATTTGCTTATTAATATTAGAACAAACTTGTTAGTTTAATACAATGCTTTTATTTTGAAGGGCAGATTATGAAACTATTCATGAAAAGTCAGATATCTAATCACTTAAACTGGGAAAGAAAGCATTTTTAAAAATCTACATTTTTATCCACTGAATATATTTGCTCAAGACAGTGTAATATCTACTTTATCTTTAAATTTGACTGAAAGATTAATATTTGAGATGAATATTT